CAATACTCTTCTCCAGCACCACAGTTCAAAGGCATCAATTCTCCTTCTATCCTCCTTAGTCATTGTCCAACTCTCTGATGCATAACAAGTGACAGCAAAGACCATGGCCTGTAGCAGATGCACCTTAATCTCCAGAGAGACACCATTGCTCTTCAGTACTTTGGAGAGGTCCCTATCAGCAGACTTTTCCATGCTATAAGTGTATAAATCTTTTTCGTTCATATCTCAGTTCTGATTTCCTTGGAGTATATTCCTAGAAGTGAAAGAAATAGCTGAGTCAGATAGGATTTCTATGTTTAGCTTTTTTGAGGAAATGTCAAACTGCCTCTCATAGTGGTTTTACCATTTTACAGTGCTACCAGCAGTACATGAGAGTTCAAATTTCTCCACATCCTTTCCAACATTTATTGCTTGCTATTGTATTTAATTTTGCTACTACTACTGGAGTGAGATGGTACCTCTTTCTTGTTTTGATTTGCATCTCTCTAATTGACCTTGATTTTGAACATTACTTTTTGTGGCTGTTGGCCTTTTCGTCTTTCTTAGTGAAAAGTCTTTTAATTTTGTTTCTGCGTTATCAGTCTTTTCCTTGCCCAGCCCCTTTAGTATTCTGTAAACTTTCATTATCAGACACTTGTCTTAGGTGTCATTGCCAAAGTCTTTTCCAAGCCTTTAGGCTTTCTTTTCACCCTAACTGGAAAAAGTTTTGGATGCACACAGGGACTTGATTTTTACAAGGCCCCAGTTGTCAATTTCATTCTCTGCTGGTTCTTCTTTGGCAGTTCTGCAAGCCTATTTATGGCATAGGCTAGAGCTTCTCAGTTTGATTCCATTTTTCTTTTTTTATCTTTATGATTTTGGGCATTACCCTTATCCATTTCTAATCCATCCTGTGTTGATTTTTGTGTATGTGGTGTGATATAGATCCAGTCTCAGTTTTTTGCAGGTAAATACCCAGTTTTTTCCATCAGCATTTGTTGAAGAAGTTGTCATTTCCCCATTTGATAAGTTTTCCCTTGTCAAATACCAATTAACCAGAGGTAGATAGATAAATTTCTAGGTTTTCCATTCTGTTCTAATAGTCTGTCTCTGTCATTGTACCAGTACCATATTATTTTTGTTAACTGTGGTTCAGTATGTTTTGAAGTCAGGGAGTGCAGCACCCCCCACTTCATTTTTATTTTTCAGAAGAAGTCTGCTCAGATGGAATCTCTTTCTTTTCCAAATAAAATTGCCAGTTGCTTTTTCTGTCTCTTTGAAGAATGAGTTTAGTATTTGTATTGTGATTACATTGAACATGTATATTGCTTTTGGTAGGATTGTCTTTTCACAATGTTAAGTCATCTTTCTCTGCATGAACAAAGAATACCTTTCCATTTAGTTAGGTCTTCTACTGGTTCCTGAAACAGTATCTTTCAGCTTTTCTTATAAAAATCTTTTGTGTCTCTAGTTAGATTTATTCCAAAAATTTCATCTTGTGGTTGGCTCTTGTAAATGGTATTGCTATCTTAATTTCCTTTTCTGTGCTTTTTTGTTGCTGTCTAGAAATCCCACTGATTTTTTAAAATGTTGATCTTGTATTCTTCCACACTACTAAATTGGTCTATCAGCTCTAATGGGTATTTTCTATTTCAGACTATCATATTATTTGCATATAGCAACAGTTTTATCACTTCTTTGCCAATTTGGAGGCCTCTTATTATCTTACTGCTCTGGCAGTACAGTACTTCCAATACAGTGTTGAGTAAGTAATTAAAGAGAGGACATCCTTCTTTGGCCCTGTTTCCAAGGGATATGCCGTTTATCTTTCCCCATTGAGAATGATATTGGCTCTTGATTTTGTGAGTACAGTCTCCTTTATGCTTTTTTCCCACTCCACTCTGGAAGTATTCCTTCTTTTTCTGTTTTTTTGAAATCATATAAGTGGAATTGGTGATACTTCCTTTCCAAACATTTGGTTGAATTCACCTGTGAAACCCTTGGGCCTAAATGTGGGTGAGTCTTTTTATGATCTGCTCATTTCTTCTTTTGTGATGAATCTATTCAAGTATTCTACATTTGTATCAGTCTGGGTAAGGTGTGATTTGTAGGAATTTGTCCATTACCTCTGGGTTGTCAAATTTATTAAGAGTATAGCTTTTCATACTATTACCTGTTTAATTCCAGCTGATTCTCTTGTAATGTCATCTTTTTTATTTCTTATTGAAGTTGTTTGTGTCTTCTCTTTTCTTTTGTTAAAATTGCTAATGGTTGTATTATTTTATTGACCCTTTTGAAGCTCCTGGTCTTAATGGTGGTTTCATTTCTTTTTATTTCCTAGCCCATTGATTTCAGCCATTTCCTTATAATTTTCTTTCTTTGTAGATATTTTGGGATTAGCTCCTTATGTGTTGAGTAGTTTATTTTGCACTTTTCCTACTTTTTTATGTGTCTGCCAATTGCTATGATCTGTTCCCGAAGGACTTCCTTAACTGTATCCTAAAGGTTTTGGATAAATTGTATTTTCATTTGTTTTGAGGAAATTTTTAATTTCACTTTTTTCCCCCTGTAACCCAAAAGAGTTCAAGCAGGGTGTTATTTAGTTGCTATGTGGGTGGTTTTTAATCCTTTATCCTCTTGGTAATTTCTAGTTTTATGGCTTTGTGGTCTGAGAGGATACTTTGAATTATTTTAATGTTGGTTTTTTGTTTTTTTGTTTTTTAAATTTTTTGAGACTTGGTTTATGTCCTAAAAATGTGATCAGTTCTGGAGAATACACCACATGTTCCTATTGTTATGTGCCAATACTTCTGAATTCTAGGAATTCTATGCAAAATAGCTCTGAACCCTGTTCTATCCTGAGCCAGTCTCACTGTCTCTGACACACCTACTCTCATTACCCCAGTTATTGTGTCAATCCATCTCATCCAGGGTCTTCCTCTCCCTACACTGTCCTTCGACCCTTCCAAACATGATATGCCTCTCTAAAGACCTCCTGGTTACATGACCAAAATATGTGAGACATAGTCTCAAAATCCTTGTCTCCAAGGAGCAGCTTGGTTTCTCCCTCTTCAGAACAGACTGAGTAGTTCCCTTGCCAGTCCATG